TCCGTGGGTATAGTGTGCTGCTACAGCAACAAAACGGCGAAATCTACCCATGCACTCTGTGTGTGGTGCAGTAACCACCTGTACTGCGCCGTGCTTTAATACTTCCAAACAGAAGTGCAGTTTTCCCTCAATTTATGCGAGTTTTTTATATGTGAATTTGCTCTTATGCGATGAACATATTTAGACCCATAATTCGTTGTATGCGAGGTAAATTTGCTCTTATGTGCTCACCATAGGGCCCCCCTGTCCACCCAAGCAGGTAAGTCTGTGGGTGGAGGGGAAAGGGCTGTGGCCCCACTCACCCCAGCCCTGGCTGCAGCGGCCCTAGGAGCAGCTGGCACCAACTGCCTGCAGCCACTGGGCTGCACCATGCTTTGCCTGTCCCCCTGTGCCTAGGCTCACTTCAGCTCCTGGGCTGCACCGTGGCATGGTGCAGGCAGCTAAAGTCAAGGGCATTGCCCTGAAATAGTCAAGATTGTGTCCTGAGTGAAACCCTAGAGGTGGTTTTGGGAGCAGAAGAGAGTTAAGAGAAAGGGAGGATTTAATTTCACAGCTTGCAAAGTTTTTAGTTTGATTATGAGGTGATAGCAACAGTCCTGAGAGAGAGAGGTAATTAGCTGTGTTAGTCTAAACTCAGGTGGAAGGCAGAGTGGATTTGCACCTTATAGGCTAACTAAATCAGAGATGCATTGCATAAGCTTTCATAAGTAATGGGCTTACTTCATCACATACTGTGAGTAAACCTGCTACTTATGAAAGCTTATGCAATGCATTTCTGATTTAGTTTATAAGATACAAATCTACCCAACAATTCTAAGAACATTGGAGAGAGGTTCCCTGGTGGTAATGTGGTGAGTCAATATGTGTTCAGTAGGTTTTGTGGATTTCCCAGAATGTTGAAAGTATGGAAGAAATTATAGTAACAGGCTGGCTACTCGTTTTAATGTTGCTGAGGTTTTGTGTTGGAATACCTAGAGCTTCATAGATTTAATATATTTTATAGACATTAGGGCTGGAAGGGACCTCACAAGATCATCGGGTTCAGCCTCCTGCCCAAGGGGCAGGAAGTCAGCCAGGGTCAGATCACCCCAGCAGCATCCAAGAATTTCTTAAAGGTATCCAGAGTAGGTGCTTGCACCACTTCAGGGAGGAGTGTATTCCAGACTCTGGAGACTCAGATGGTAAAGAAGTTTTTCCTTATGTCCAGTCTAAAATGGTCTTCCAGCAGTTTGTGAATGTTAGACCCTGTCTTCCCTTGGGGTGCCCTGGTGAACAGACGTTCTCCCAGTTCCTGATGCATACTCCTTGTATATTATAGGCTGCCACTAAGTCACCCTTGAGCCTTCCCTTCTCCAGGCTGAAAAGTCCCATGCTTCTCAGCCTCTCCTCATAAGGCCTGTTTTCTTGACCTCTAATCATGTGCGTGGCTCTCCTCTGGACTCTGTCAAGCTTCTCCATATCCTTTCTAAAGTGTGGAGCCCAGAATTAGGTGTGGTATTCCAGCTGAGGCCTCACCAAGGCCAAGTAAAGTGGGAGGATGAATTCTTGGGTCTTGCTTGAGATGCATTGGTAGACACAAGCCAGAGTTTTATTTGCTTTGGTGGTTGTGACATTGCATTGGTGGCTCATGTTCATCTTGTAGGTCAGTCATGACCCCCAAGTCTCTTTCAGTCATGGTGCTAGTGAGTGTAGCACTGTTGAGTGTGTAAGTATGATGTGGGTATTTTGTTCTGAGGTGGAGCACCTGGATTTCTCCATGTTGAATGTTATCAGGTTTTGATCCACCCACCTGGCGAGCCTGTCCAGGTCAGCCTGAATTGCCAGCCTATTCATTTATGAATATTGCCTATTCATTTATGTATATATTAAAGAGTACTGAGCTCTGGGGCCGCCACTGGTCACCATGCACCATGTTGACTTGGTTCCATCAACTATCACTCTCTGGGTCTGACCACGGAGCCGGTTCCCCAGCCATTGGACTGTAAGGTTGTTGAGGCCACAGTTCCCCAATTTTTACCATGAGGACATCATGGGAAACCAAGTCAAAGGCTTTTTTGAAATCTAAATATATGACATCAGCCTCTTCTCCTTTGTCCAGGTGATGCGTCACCTGGTCAGGAAGGGAATGAGGTTGGTCAGGCAAGACCTACCTGCAACAAAGCCATATGTTGGCTCACTCTCAGAATGTTGCCTTCTGTTAGCCTGTTGATGGTTTCTTTGATGATTTTTTTCCGAGATCTTTCTAGGGATTGAGGTCAACCTGATTGGCCTGTAGTTCCCTGGATCTTCCTTCCTTCCTTTCTTGAAGATAGGCACCACATTGGCCCGCTTCCAATCTTCAAGAACTTCTGTCAAGCACCACAAGTTCTCAAATATGCTCGCCATTGGTTGTGATATGATGTGGGCCAACTCTTTTAGCACTCTTGGGTGTATTCCATCCAGGCCAGCTGACTTGTGGATGTCCAGCCTCTCAAACTGTTCCCTCACAAGATCTTCACCAATTATAGGTGTATGATCACCCTTACCGTGGTAGTAAAATGAAATATTCTGCAAATAGGTAGGGTAAGATGTAGCAAGGGAACTTGTAAGGGAGTCTAGTGAGTAGGTAATTCTTTTGTCATAGTTGATATGACCTTTCAGATGTCATCCACAGATGCAGAAATGAAGCTGGTGAAGAATCTGGTGTTCTTCCTTCTATCAGTGGAGCAAGATGACAATATTTTGAAAAGAAAGAACTACTTTGTGAAGTGACCAGTGGAAGAAGTGGAAGGACTGAGTTCTAATAGAAAATTTGGGATTTAAAATAGTCCAGGCTAGTTACCCAGAATCACATGCCTTACTGAACTAGTAAGGTTATATATGTTTATAAAAATTAGAGTTCTGCAGTTGACTAAGTAACTCTAGAATTGTGCCGTTATTGGCAATTAAAAAAAACCTATGAGTAAAGAAGAACTAATTTGGTACATAGATGGGAGATAATCATATGGGAAGCTAAGTTTTCTCAACCTGTGTATCTTACAGGAAAGTCGTATACAAAAGTCAGATTTCAATACTAACCCTTAACTTTTTATGTAACTTAGAAGAATGTAATTAACTAACTGCAAATTAATCAAAGCAACATTTAGTTGAACTAATGAGCAAAATATTGGTTTCTTGTCACCAACAGTAAACTTTTCTGCAAGAAGATCGAGAGATTGTTTGATCCAGAGTACCAAAATCCAGATTCTCGGGGAAACGCAACAACACTGTATAGGTGCAGTAAAGTTTGTTGTTTTTTTTAAATTTTAGGTACAAAAACAACCCCTGATTTACAAAGCATCAACTTTACTGTTGCATTTCTTTTTTTAGGTGCTGTTTATGTAAGAAGCTCTTAACTAAAGAAACAGAAAGAAGAATTGCTTGTGTTCCAGGAAAAATTAACATAGATCAACATGGAAATATTATCTATGTTCATATAAGGTGCTGCATACATGGAAGATGTAACTTTTTCTATATACATGTATCTTAATAAGTATGTTTACAGAATACTTTGTATGTATAATGTTAGTTAATATTGATGTTACACTTTTTGCTTTATAATTCATGGGCAACATGATTCATTAAAAATCATTTTAGTTAATCCTGTTGCCTTGCCTGTTGCCTTGTTAGGGTTCTAATGTTGCATTTAATAAAAGTGCTGAATTAATTTCTTCTACCTTGATTGAATCTAATAAGATTTCAGTTGAAAACAGAAGGATCCCTGTGCTGCTTTGAGCTCTTTAAAATAGAAAATAGAGCTAAGCTTTTGATCATCTTAATGACTTTGCAGTATGTTTAACTGAAGGAAAATAGAATGTAAAGGATGGACAAACATCTCTCTTAACCATATTAAAAGGGTAGGGGAAACTGTTGCTCCTGAGCATGTATCAGCTGTTAGGCTCTAACTGTTATCTCTGCATCAGCTTGTAGCAGTGTGACCCTGAGTGGAGTGGGGTTAATGTTATAGTGGCTTTTCTACACTTTTTTCACTACAGAATCATGAAAACTTAAGGGTTGTATCAAGAACCAGCTTTATACTTACTCTTTTGATATTAGTATAATTGATACATCTGTCTATACCCCAATGGACACATTTTCATAATAGCTGTTATAAAATGACAGAGTCCAATGAGTTGACAAAGAAGTACTTAAGAATATGGTCGAGATTTATTGTCTTCCTGATCTGATGCTCTCAAATCTAACACCATTTTTTGTTTGTATTAAATTTTCTTTCTTGCACTCTTGAAGGGGAGCTGAAGCCAGGACCCTGCTCTTACATTTTAGCAATATTGTTAAATAGTCCTTAATACCTTAGGTCAGGGGTTGGCAATGTTTCAGAAGTGGAGGGCTGAAGTAAACCACCTTGGTCTGTGGCTGGCTTGTCCTCCAAACCACTGGTGCTTCTCCTCGCCTCCCAGATGAAGTGCCTCATTGATTAAATTCTGCAGAAGTGACTGCTTTGTGGACTGGATTAGAATTACTCTTCTGTGGGCTTTCTGCCTCGGATTCTTATCTGTGTAGGCTGTTGCATAAGTCCTTCTTATGGGTGTGGTTTGGGTCCTAGGGAGTTTGCTTCTGGTGATGAGGTTAGTGAGGTTTGGTGCTTGTTTGAAGGCTAGGATGGGTGGTTTTGGAAAGATCTTTTTAAGAGAGGGATCTTCTTCTAGTATGGGTTGCAATTGTTTGAGGATTTTCCGTGTAGGGAAGGGTGATATGTCATAACTAATGGTGTGCGGTTTGTGGGGTTTTTCTATTTGTACTGTAGCAAATCTTCATGTGGTATCTGGGTGGCTCTTTCAAAAGTGCAATCTGTCTCTCTGGAGGAGTGTCCTTGTTGGCTGAAGGCCCTTTTGAGATTTGTGAGGTGGCAGTCACGGGTATTCTCATTGCAAATTCAGCGGTATCAGAGAGCTTGGCAGTATATTACAGCTTTCTTGGTGCATTTAGGGTCATTGCTGGTTCTGTGTCTAGATATGTATGTTGGTCCATGGGTTTCTTATATATGGTGGTTTGAATTTTACCATCTTGGATATTGATCACGGTGTCCAAAAAGGAAATGCTGGTGTTAGAGTATTCAAGCGATAGTCTGATGGAGGGGTGATGATTGTTGAATTTTTAGTGGAAATCAATCGGAGACCATAGGATTTTGGTCCAGATGATGAAGATGTCATCTATGTATCTCAGATATAGTAAAGGTTTGATGGTTCAGTTCTTGAGGCAGTCTTCGTCTAGATGGGTCATAAAAAGGTTGGCATATTGTGGGGCCATTTTGGTGCCTGTAGCTGTGCCCACAGTCCGGAGGAAGTGTTGGTTGTTGAAACTGAAGTTGTTGTGTGTGAGGATGAAGTGTATGAGTTCAGTAATATCCTGAGGTCTGTACTCTGAGTTGTAATCTCGTTCTTCTAGATATTTGAGGCAGGCTTGAATGGCATCCTGGTGTGGGAAGTTGGTGTATAGGCTAGTGACATCCATGGTGGCTAGGAGGATATTGCAGGGAAGGTGGTCTATGTTTTTGAGTTTCTTCAGGAAGTCAGTTGTACAATCTAACACTGGCATGTCCTTAGCAGCATGATTTTCCAAACATAGGTTTATATCTGTAGGCTTAGTTCTCAATTATGTTAGGAAATGCAGAGTAAAATAGAGTTCCTGCCCTTAGGAACTTACAGCCTTATTAAGCATAAGGTGAGGTCATTGGATGTAACAAATAGAAGGGAAAGTGAAGGAAATGGTAACATAACTTTCACAGATAAAATCTGTATCCATGCTAGACACTGTCTCTTTTTTTGGGTTTTAAAAGAAAGATTCTCACTTTTCAGTAAGAAGGAATTAAGTCTAGAGCAATTTGTCCCTGCTGTAAAAAGCCTGAAACATACAGGTTCATAAAGAAGTTAATTGCTGCTACACACCTAGTATAGAGAACTATGCATCTCCAGGCCTGTCTTGAGGGCTAGTTATGGTGCCTTTTTGAAGTATAAGATCTGAAAATAAAATAGTTACTTAAAATGACACAGTTGTTGCCTCATAGCACAGTGTAGTGGCAAAGAATGAGATATCTCTGATACAGGTGTGTTTCGTTTTGTTTGGTTTCTTTTCAATTTCTTCCACTCCTTCTGTCATCCAGATATTTGAAAATTACAATGCCTCTTCTGCTACCTAATGCCAAGGAAATAACCTCCGTGATGCCTTTGATTTTCATTACCCCAGGGAGAAAAAGACCACTAGTCTGTCCCTCTTTTTCTGCTACTAAGCTTTCAACTTTTGTACTTATCTACTAACTCAATCAGATTTTCCTTTATTTCTGTTTCTCCCAATTCCCATGTGGATTTAACCCTAACTCACAACTTAGTGACTAGAGCACTACCCCACAATGTGGGATGCACTATAGCATCTGAATTAATTGTTGCTTGTCATACAATGCGTCTTCTACAAGGTTTTCAGCAATGATGTCTGCTCTTCTGTCAACCCGCAGTCTTCACTGATACAAATACAGGACTATAATATCTTTATAATCCAATGTAAACCTGATTGTATGCCTTTTTGTTTCAGAGATAAAACTTGGGAAGTCCATGAGTACTTGGTTGGCCTTCATGAAGAATTAAAATCTTGGCGGGATGTGTATTGGCGCCTGTGGGGGACTCTCAATTGGCTGACCTGTTCACGGTGTAATCAGGTATATATTATTGTGTTTTCATTCTCCGGTGTTTATTTTTAATGGCAGCATGAAAATAAATCTTACAGTATATTTCATGCTGTGCGCAAGAAAATCTCCTTAGGTTTTAAAATTTGTAATTGAGGAACCTCTTTTCCAAATGACTCTCTAGAATACTAGTACAAAAATATCTGCCTCCTTCCTAAACGTACCAATTTTTGAGACCATTAGGACATGCTATGGAATTTAGAGAGAAGCCATTATGAGACTTGTAATGGAAACTTTGCAGTAGAAGGAAATTACCTTTACTGCTATATCTGGATTTTGAATGAGAATTTGTGTGACTAAATTGTAAGGAAGATTCTTACTAGTTTTAACCTGAGTATCATGGTTTTCTGTGAGAGTGATTTAAAATTGCTGTACGTTTCGGGCACTGAAATATTCTGACTTTCACAGGCAATATAACCCTGGACAGAATATTTCCATCATCTCTCTCTCTCTCTCTCTCCTCAATATAGTCTTTCCTATGTACTGAATTTTCACACTGCCAGTACCACTCTCAGCCTGTTCTCTATCCTGGTGTGGCAAGTTCCCTGGGCTCTACTGGGACTGGAATATATCCCTGCTGTAACCAAAAAGTTCTTCGATTTGATCCCACTCCACTTCCAAAGGTACTTTTCCAGTGTTGTGCTTTTAACCATGACTCCAGTCTCATGGGGCTGGGTTGTGATAAAAAGGGAGAGACTGATTCCTGAACTTGGTCTCCCTCCTGTTTTTGGTGGGGGGCGGAGGGATGTAAAGGTAGTGTACCATGTGTTCCCAAACAAGCGTATCAGTATACAGCTAAGCTACTTTCCCCACCTGCCTTGTAAGACCAGAGCCAGCTTCCCTTCCTGCTCTACTGTGTGCAATGACCATCATTTAATGCAAAGGAGCAAGTAAGCACTTTATGTCATTTACTACTTTGGCCATGACAGAAATCAGATCATCGTTTGGGTCTTAGTGATGGAATAGAAGATGAAAGTGTTCTTGTTAAAGGAAGTCCTGTAGACACTAACATTATCATCCTAACTTTGTGGCCCCAGTCCCACTTCCCAGCAACTTTCTTTGTAAAAATTCCACTAACTTCAGTGGGAGTAGGATCAGGCCCATCACTTAAGCATAGCCAGTATCAAGACCAAGATCCTTGATGCTGGAGACCTGTGAACGTTCCAAGAACACAGAACTTACTGGTAGAGTAAAATGTGGCTTTTCTTTCCCCCCAGTAAGCCACTATATCTAACAAAGAGCTCTTTCTTTTATCTTACAGGGCTGTAAAGTGAGGGACCATGTGGTTGGCTTACCTGCTGGAGGTGAAGGTGGGGATGCTTTGCCATATCAGACTACTAAAATATTGAATGATCTGCTTCACCATAGAGATGTTATTGTTGTACCTTTTACTAAAGATCAGAATAGGTGAGAACATTGTATTCAAACTGATGAACTTCCTTTCCCTTCAACACTAATATTTTCATAAATTAGCACAGGATTTCTTTATTTTCCTTTCTAAACAGGCAATGAAGTGATAGTTTTGGAACTTAACTGTAACTTATTTCTGATGTTTTAATTAAAAATAGGGATAAGAAAAACAAATGTTGCTACCAACCACATTTCAAACAGTCACTTAAGTGGTTCAGTCTTCCATACAGTTCAGTCTTGCGGTTATTCATATTCAAATATAGTCTTCCCTTGTAGGTGTTCTGTAGACTGTCTAGAGCACACTGAGGGAAGAAAAAAAATGTTCAAAAAAGCTCAGAGGAAAAAAAACTTGCTGTTTAATATTTCTTTAATTTCTTCTTTCAAGTGATTCTGGGATTGGGCTGTGTGATGAGAAGGGGATTGAATGTGATGTGCTGTTAGAACCAAATACACCTTGGGGCTCCAAGACAGGAGAAATCAATGCTGTAAGTAACTGCATTTTTGTTTTCCTGTTCACCGATAATGACTGATAGCAACTTCATAAAATACTTTATTTCATAAAATACAATTGCTGTCTTTTGTATTAACACCATGGGGACTGTTTAGAATTTGAATCTGTCTAAGAAACCAGTGGTCCTATTAAGTATGCATTGTGTATAACCTGCAAAGCCCTAATTTTCTGGAGACCCGGCTGCCTTTAGAGGTTGTCATGTACTGCTGAATCTGAGATCAGCAGAGCCATTGTGGATGCAGCCATCTATCAATTTTAAAAGCTTTTAGGCCATGCTTAGCACAGTAGTAGGAGTGTATGACCACATTTGTCCTCCCCTCCTTTTCTTCCCCATGCCCTGCCCTTGGGGAGAAGTATTTGCAGTGGGATATCTTGTTTTGGTAGCATTCTTGGTTTGTTTTTTATTATATGTTGCTATATATTTGTTAGAGAAGGTTCTCACTGCAATGGTTCTTGCTTCATAGGGGAATATATTCCACAGTCTGCCACCAGCCCTCAAG